GTAATGTATTTTCTTTTTGAACCGTTGAAATTTTAGGGATGAAGCATGAGATTCAAACCCAGCTCATGCTTAGACTGGACTTAAGCCCAGTACACTTTACCAAAGTTGGCTGCAAGCCCAAGTGTTAAATACATAATACGCATTCAGAATAGTAGGCACTAGTGTGCAATATAGTGAAAAATTTTCTAAAACTATATCATTTTAATAAAAATCTTATTTAAAAATTAAAATATTATAACTTTTAAAATAAAAATAAAATTATTTTAATTTTTTTATTAAGCTTTATTAAAGCAACAAAATTTTGAAGTATTTTTCTATATAATTTTTTGAAATACAAACTAACACCCATTAATCTCATATACATTAGTATCATCCTATGATTTATTTTGAAAAATAATAATTAAATTATAATTACTAGTTTGTATATTCTGCATAGAATAAGAACAACGACCATTCACTTAAATCACCAAAATATGGATAAACCAGTTCTGTTAAAACTGCATTATGGTTTTTGGGAGGATAAGGCGGCACTGTAGTTGGAAATTGGAATACAATGGAGAAAAAAATGTGTAATTTTCACTCTCCTATTAAACAAGACAATGTTAATCGTGGACAAATTAAATTAAACAATTGGCTTAAACTCGGTTGTAAGCAACTGACTTGCTGAAAAGGCGGCGGATATAGATAACTTGAAGTGTACTGGCAAGACCCAACAAAATGTACTCTCCAACTGTGTAACCTATAACACGTTTCCTTGTGCTTTCATTAGCTGCAGACAAAACCAATGAGATGGCGAGTAATGAGTGATTTAGTATCAAGTGTTCTTTTTGGCAAAAACTCCAAAGTTTATCCTAATATTGTGACAGGGAGATTGGTCAATCAAAAGAATGAATGGTGAAGTGCAATTAAAGTGTGATACAGAAGCATTAAGGGTTACTAAGTTTACTCAAACATGGCAAAGTTAAGGTGTTCGCCTGTATTTTATGGAATGAAATTCAGGACACCATAAGTAACAGAAAAATAGAGAAAAGTGGATAGCAAAGAGACATATGTAATATTACAATTACAAAAACGCAGAGGACTGAGTCCTGCATGATTCTTGATGCTCAATATGTTATCTAGATGATGACAAAATAGAACTTCATGAATCTTCCTAATTGTCAAGGCAACCATACATGCATGTATGTAAGAAGCATGATTGCATAATACACTCAATTTAAGGAGGGTCAAACTGGATAGTCATGTGGTAAGAGAAACAAGAATTTGATGTAGCGACAGAAAGACTTTTAAAAAATTCAAACATTAGAATTTATCTGATTGGTCAAGCTTATGTAAAGATCTTATCTGTTGTAAAAGCTGAAGCTGGGCCTCATGCAGTTTTCTGAGAACATATTCTAATTTTCTAGAAGCTGTAAAAGCTCCAAACCCATGGCATCTGAGGTAGATCTTTTGTTGTTAGGCTTCTGAATTTGATCATTTTTATCAATTTCCAAAATTTTTATGATTAAGTTATATGAATCCATAATTTAACACTTCTGTAAAAAAATCTACTCTAACAAAATTGTGACTGATGCTACGGCTAGGCCAACTAGGCTTTTATCACACTTGTTCAGATACAGAGAGTAGCCCTAGAATTGAAGGTTATTTACAGTCTAAAACATAATGTGATGCCAATGTTGATAAATAATCATCAATCAATGCATAAGAGAAATGAGGAAAGGATAGCAACTTACTATGACGATGTCGAGTATCACGTGCTTTCAAGTACTTCTGTTCTGCTGTTACAGACTCCAATGCCTCTCTTAGCTCCGCAATTTTGACATTAATTGGGTCCAAATGCTCTGTTGTGAAGTAATATTTAAAAGTAAAAGTTATCAAACTTTTATGAAAATCACAGGCATATACTATTAAATAAGGTTGGCCAGATTACAGAAAGGCACTTGAAAATTTCAAGCTGACCTTAAAGCTAAGTATTATTTATTATGCAATTCAATCTTGATATATAGATATTAGATATTAGATAGAAGGATACAAATGAAGATGTGACAAACCATCTTTGGCAAGGTCATGCTCATTTGGAATATGGCCAACATGAATATAAAAAGAAACAGTCTCCACAGCAGAGGAGGGATTGTGAAAACAGAATTTGTACATTCCAATCCCTGGGGCCTTGAAATCAAACTTGTCACCAGATGTCCCCTTCAAAGTCTGAACTACATTACCAGCAGGAGATGTCACCTGCATGGAAGTGCATATCAGACATATTACTAACTGTTAATTGTTAGAGAACCAATTGTTATAGCATATAAGTGCCACTCATGGTAGTACATAGAAACAAGGATGAAGTTGGTGGTTCTTGAAAAAATGAACCATCCTTATGTTCTCCAAGCTAAAAAGCAAACCTCCCACAAGTTCTGATGTTTTAGAAATTCTTGCATGTTGCAACCACGTAGTCAAATTTAAATGTCCATGTCATGATTATCAAAAAATAAAGTCCGTGACATAACACACATAGACGCAAACCAATCACATCTAAAGCTTTCTACACTAAGGTTGCAGCCAGCCTCAAGCAGTTATCTCTTCTAATAAAGCTTTATTCAATTGGCAGCTCATTTCTACTCTGAAAATGTAATATGTAACTATGTAAGTAAAGAAACATGGGGGAAAGAAATTTTAGTAATAATAGAAATCACATACAGTGCCCCAAGGAAAAAAAAAAAAAAAACATTTGGGCTATTTTCATGCCAATAAAACTGTTTTTAAGGGTCAATAAACCAGAAAATTAGCAAAAGTTTAAATCCTTACTTCCTTGCCAGCAAAATGAATTAACACCAAGTTACCAATTAAACACACATCTGCAACTGCAAGAACAAGACTGGGAGTAGTTGCATCAAGATGATAAATTCTTTTCTTTTTTACCATGAACGATCAAATAATGAAATTCAGTCCCCCTTGAACGAAAATCAAAATTGTTAACTCTGAAAGAACCTTTCTGGTCAATAAAATCAACATAAATCCCAGAAAACCACGGACAAAATCAAATCACACATGGACCCAAAACCGAACCTTGATCAACAACACAGTAAAAATACAACATTCTAATCCAAAACCCACGAAACTTATACCCAGAAGCAACTTCAACCGCTTGAAATCAGCCATCAAAACTTAAAACCCAAAACATCCCAGAGATCATATTGACCCAAAACCCACAAAGCCTTCTATCAACAGATCAGATTAACGGCACAAACCCAGAAACAAAACAAAGGAGTTGTTAAACTTACGACGAAATCAATACCGGGGTGATCAGAGCCCCAGAAGATGTCGTGATCGACCACCACGAAGTTGCCCGACACTGTGTCTCCCTCGTAGAGCACGTACTCGTAGACGCATTCAACGCTGTTTACGGTCAGTGATAGGCACGCGACGTCGCAGACCCAGCTGAATAGAAGCAAACCCATCAACGCCCACACCTTTGCCCTTCTCATTTCCATTTTCTCTCGTCGATTCCGATCCTATTTTCCGAACTGACGGTTTCAGCTTTATTTCGAACAAAATTGAAGCTCTAAATTTCCTTCCTTACCAGAAATAATTTTTTCGTTATTTACCAAACATTAAAATAAAATTATTTTGCATTAATTAGAGAGGACAAGGCTCTTCATATAC